TACAAACAGATTAGCTCTCACAGTTACCTAGGCAGATGTGAATCTGTCCCACTTGCAGTCTTAATGCTTCCCTGTTGCTAATGATGTTCCAAGGGTATCAGAAAATGGAAATAAATGGCTGGCGTGGTAGCTGCCTGGAGCTGCCTTAAGTGCCAGCCTTGCTGGGTATCAATTGTTTGTTTGGTGGCTTTCAAAGTAAAGTGGAACATTGATTTGTTTAAACACTGCAATGCATTTGTATTTCTTATCCCCTCCCAAGCCATCATTTTCATCTCATTTAGAAGATGAGATCACACTGTATTTCATAGAGAACAGGTGCCATTCAGTGACTTGAAATATGACAGACTGATCTGTAACGATTTTCTACCAACTTATCTCTCAGGAGCACTTTTACACTGATACTGTGGAGCCCCTGACTATAAGGGAAGGGGATAAGAAGATGAGATTCAGGAAAACATGGAGTACTTAGACAGATATATTGGCTAATTTTCTGATTCTTTCAGTAATAACTTTTCCAAATTGGTAACCCTGGGAAATTGTTATTTTTTTTCTGTTGATTTCTTCCTTTCCTTTATTCTTTCTCTTCCACCCTTTCTCCTTGTCTCCTAATCCTCTCTTTCCTCTTCTTCCTCTAATATGGTTTGGGTATTTGTCCTCTCTAATTTGTCTTGGGTATTTGAAATGTGATCTCCAGTGTTGGAGGTGGGATCTCATGGGAAGTGTTTGTGTCTTGGGGGCAGATCTTTCATGAATGGCTTGGTGCCCTCACCTCAATAATGAGTAAGTTCTAGCTCTATTAGTTTACATAGAGAACTGGTTGATTTAAAAGAATGTGTCACCTCCCCCTTGACTCTCTTGTTCCCTCTCTCACCATGCGGCATGCCTCAGTTCCCCTTGCCTTCCACCCTAAGTAAAAGCTTCCTGACGTCCTGCCAGAAATGGATGCTGGCACCATGCTTCTTGTACAGTCTGCAGAGGTGTGAGTCAAATAGACCTCTTTTCTTTATAAATTACCCAGCTTCAAGTATTCCTTTATAGTAGTGCAAAATAGACTAACACATCCTCCATTTTTCTCTTAGTATTTCTCTTCAGCTAATCTAGTATCCAATTGCTCACAACATACTCATAATGAAGTACTCCAGAACAATAAACTCAGTCAGAACTTCGACTCCATACTTACGAATATACCTAACCAAGGAGTTGAAAGGCCTCTGAAAGGTCCATTTACTAAAATATGATGCAAAAGAAAGATCTCTAAAGAGTTTTCTTTTTTCTTTCTGGTATGTTTTCAAATTTTCTACATAAAAAATGACCAACTCTCACAGTGTCTTTTTTACTAGGCACAGTGGGCTGTCCCCAAACCCAGAGTACATATGTTCTCCTTCTGCAGGGGATTCATATGAAGCTGTTGTGGAAAAAAATCTCATAATCTTTCAAGTAAGCTACAAACTCCCAAAGACAGACTCACGTTTTGGGGTAGAAGGTAATAAATACATTTATTCAAATTAATTGCCCTGGCAGTCTAAACGTGTAGAATCTGAAATAGAGAATGTTGTTAAGGACAGGCTATCTTAGTAGTCTCTCGTACATAGAATCAAAATTAATGGCAAACACAAGGTTACCCAGAAAGATACAGAAGAGTAATAATAAATAGATAAGGAGACTTTCTAATCCAACATTAGCTGACTCAAATTATGGGCCATTGACTAAATTGTTTTGTTTTTGTTTTTTTTTTTTTTTTTCTGAGACAGAGTCTCACTCTGTTGCCCAGGCTGGAGTGTAGTGGGGCTATCTTGACTCACTGCAAACTCTGCCCTCTGAATTCAAGAAATTCTCCTGCTTCAGCCTCCCAAGTAGCTGGGACCACAGGCACAAGCCAACATGCCCCGCTGATTTTTGTATTTTTAGTAGAAACAGTGTTTCCCCATGTTGGCCGGGCTGTTCTGGAACTCCTGGTCTCAGGTGATCTGCCCACCTCAGCCTCCTAAAGGGCTGGGATTATAGGCGTCAGCCACCGCGACTGGCCTAAAATTCTTTTTTTTTTTTTTTTTTTTTTTTTTGAGACGGAGTCTCGCTCTGTCGCCCAGGCTGGAGTGCAGTGGCCGGATCTCAGCTCACTGCAAGCTCCGCCTCCCGGGTTCACGCCATTCTCCTGCCTCAGCCTCCTGAGTAGCTGGGACTACAGGCGCCCACCACCTCGCCCGGCTAGTTTTTTGTATTTTTTTAGTAGAGACGGGGTTTCACCGTGTTAGCCAGGATGGTCTCGATCTCCCGACCTCGTGATCCGCCCGTCTCGGCCTCCCAAAGTGCTGGGATTACAGGCTTGAGCCACCGCGCCCGGCTAAAATTCTTAACTAAAGAGTGTTTCCTTAAAGCAAAAGTCCTTTCACATGGTTTAATAGATACCATTAACTTCAGACTTTGAATGAAAAAGATAATGTTTTAAATTCCCATAAGGTCACAAATGATCAAAACATTCTGGGAAAGTTTTCCTGAGCTTATTTTCCTAACTTAGTGTCTACCCTGTCACCTGGCACAGAATGTGTTTAATATTTTTTACATCCTTCTCTTTCTATTACCTATTTACTACCTTAAATGCCTGGGATTGTGTGACATTTTCTGAGGAAATGCCCTTAAGAAGCTTACAAATAGATGTATGAAGTAATACTTAAATTCATAAAATAAGCAAACTTGATTTATAAGCATAATAATTGTAATTAATTAACATATAATTTTTAATAAGTTATATTTTAAAAAATAATAATACCTAAAATAAAACTAAATGATGGTAAGCTCTGGATAAGAATCCGGGGAACTTTCAGAGGGGAGGTTAATTGAAACAAAACTTTGTGGTGAGTGTGGGCTTTGGTTCTGTGCAGTGCATATGATAGAGGAAGTTTAAAGGACTGATTGCATAAATCATATAGCAATGAGTGAGAAAATTATGAAAAAGTGAATAAACTCCATCTGGCAGAAGATACTAAGAATCATGGAGAAAAGGCTGCATAAGGCTGGCAGTGATTGTTGGAAGAGAATCTGGAGTATGAAGGTGAATAGTATAATTATGAATAGAAGCTCCAAAGGCTTTACACTAATTGGAGTGTTTGCCCAATCCGGGATCCCTTCTCTGGGGGGACTGGCCCCATCCGTCCATCCATCATTGGTATGAAACCATGGAAATTGTATTTATAAGATATGACTTTGAACACCATTTCCCAATTTCCTTCTTCCCCTTTCTTTTGGTAGAATATGGGAAATGAATACCTCATCTAAAATGGACAGGCATAAGTTGGATGTCAGATCTCAACAATTCTAGAAAGAAAAAAAAGGAAGTTAGGAGTATTCTAAACGGTTTGTTAGGCAACTAAACTGAGACCATGGAAAGTCCATGTTTAAAGTTATAGTTTGAGCCATATGCACTTGTAAAAAGGATGAATATTCTTGGGAGAGAAGGCAAACTGGAGAAAGAAGGAGAAAACATAATCCTTTTTTTAAAAAAGAAAAGATATTATGAAGCATACACAGAGAGATAAAAGATGAAAAATCATGGTTTTCTGGAAAAAACAGGAAAATAGATTCAGTTTCTGCCATATATCTGATCCCTGATCCAAGTTTTTTTCTAAATATTTCTCCTGATTTCTTCCTTTGGTTACTTTATTATACTTTATTATAACTTTGCATTCTTATATTGCATTTTTTTTCCTTTTTGTTTATTTTACTCGAAACAAGATTTTGTTATCTGAAACCAAAAGAGTTTGGACTGAGGTAGAAGTTACATGAGTATGTAGACTGTATAAACATAAGGTTGGCCAAGGAAAAGTAAAACCAATTGGAAAACATTTGAGAGGGAAAAAATGAGGGAGTCAGGAAGATACCTGAACTAGAAAGTAAGGGATCAATTCAAAAAACACTATAAAGAAATGTTCAGCAATAATAAGTCTGTGATTATATGTGAAACTTCATAAAGACAAGTTGAAATTCACAAATGTGATTAAACAAGGACATATTCAGTCTACACTATGTATAGTACCATAATATTGAATAATTAGATTAACCAATATAGGGAAGCCAGGATATTGTCCAAGTGATTTGATTTTGCAGGAATAATAAAGAATTTATTGGTGTTTTTATTAAATGTAAACTCAGTGAAGGTGGGGTTATGTTTGTTTTATTCATCATTATAGAGCGGTATTATAAGACTTACTTCTTAGTTCAGCTAAAAGCTGGGTTCTTGTCACACAACCATGAAAGATTAGGCTTGCAGACACTTTGAAGGGTGAGAAGGGCAGGGTTTATTGGGTGAAAAGGAAACAAAAGGAAACAGGGACTCTCAGCAAAGAAATAGTCCTGCTAATATGCTCCCCACCTCACAGGGTGAATCTCAGGTTACCACCCCAGATCAGGAAAGGCCAGGCTCCTACCCACTGCAAACAGCATGAAATTCCTGAGGCTCCACTCCAGTATACACTCCTCTAAGTGCGCAGGCTGGTCAGAGGTTCTTTGGGGACCTCTTTATACTTGGCTGTCTCACTGGAGCTTAGAAAAATGCGTAGTGGTTTATATTTGCTCAGCAAATATTTTTAAATAAAGTGTGGGTTTTTTATATGATAGCAGAACATTCACAATGACACAATGAGCAGGAAAAAAAATAAATTATTTCATCCTCAGTACTATATGAGCATTATGTTGGTGCTAGAAAAAATAAAATCAATGAAACATGGTAAACCCTGACAGAGGACCTTGCAGTCCTGGGGGGAAAAAAAGGCAAAACTGAATGTACAGATACAAGGCTTATTGGCTCTTAAAACTTGAGAGTAGGAGGTTTTGGCAGAGGGTAACAGTTTAACTTCACGGGAATTTTTGCTTTTAATACATACTCTGTTAGCTTGCTCTATGTCATCTAAACAAGTATCAACTGTACTTGTATTTTGTAGTTTGTTATCTAATGCATAAGTGTGATATGAGCACCTTTTCCCATTTGTAGGATTCAGGCTCAGTACTCATTCCTCATCAAGGTGCATCACCTCCATCTGTAGAGCTGGCAATATTAAGTATCTCTGGTAATTTCCAGGAGCTCTCTCAGAGGTGTAGCTCACCTTGCAAAAGATGTAAAACACAAACAATAAGACACTGAGAAAAAAAGGATGGTGGATCCAGTTCCAGTGAGGAGGCCATCTGTCATGGAAAGTGATGAGTCATAATTGAGGGGAGCCCATGTCGTCAGTGGGAGAATCATATTAAACAGCAAGAATAAAGGGAAAAGGACAAAATGAAAGAGGAGAATGAGCTGAGAGGATTCTAGTCATGATGGTACCACAGTTAGAGAAGAGTAGGTTATAAAGATGAATTCAGATAAAAAATATTCAATGGTGAAGTCATACTTGCACTCAACATGAATGCAGTGCTGTTTGCTGTGTAGATACAGCATAATGGAGCTCTGTATGGTGAAACATACAATGTTATCCATAAAAATTGACCAGGTTACTCTACAGGTATGTCTATATTCATGTATTCAATAATTATTCATCAAATGCATAATATATGCAAGACATTTTTCTGAGAGAATTATCAGTCTAAGAAAACTCTGCCTTTGAAGTAGAAATTATCAAAGTTTATAAAAGAGACGCACTCACCTTAGTTTGAAATTTCCAGAATAAATTTCTTTTGTACTCTGGGAAGATCATACCTAAAACAAATTCATCTCTAAAGAATGGAGAAGCGGAGGGGGGGGGCGGAGCAAGATGGCCGAATAGGAACAGCTCCAGTCTCCAACTCCCAGCGCGAGCGACACAGAAGACCGGTGATTTCTGCATTTTCAACTGAGGTACTGGGTTCATCTCACTGGGGAGTGCCGGACGATCGGTGCTGGTCAGCTGCTGCAGGCCGACCAGCGAGAGCTGAAGCAGGGCGAGGCATTGCCTCACCTGGGAAGGGCAAGGGGGAAGGGAGTCCCTTTTCCTAGCCAGGGGAACTGAGACACACAACACCTGGAAAATTGGGTAACTCCCACCCCAATACTGCGCTTTAAGCAAACAGGCACACCAGGAGATCATATCCCACACCTGGCCGGGAGGGTCTCACACCCACGGAGCCTCCCTCATTGCTAGCACAGCAGTCTGTGATCTACCGGCAAGGCAGCAGCGAGGCTGGGGGAGGGGCGCCCGCCATTGCTGAGGCTTAAGTAGGTAAACAAAGCTGCTGGGAAGCTCGAACTGGGTGGAGCTCACAGCAGCTCAAGGAAACTTGCCTGTCTCTGTAGACTCCACCTCTGGGGACAGGGCAATAACAAATGCAGCCGAAACCTCTGCAGACGCAAATGACTCTGTCTGACAGCTTTGAAGAGAGCAGTGGATCTCCCAACACGGAGGTTGAGATCTGAGAAGGGACAGACTCCCTGCTCAAGTGGGTCCCTGACCCCTGAGTAGCCTAACTGGGAGACATCCCCCACTAGGGGCAGTCTGACACCCCACACCTCACAGGGTGGAGTACACCCCTGAGAGGAAGCTTCCAAAGCAAGAATCAGACAGGTACACTCGCTGTTCAGAAATATTCTATCTTCTGCAGCCTCTGCTGCTGATACCCAGGCAAACAGGGTCTGGAGTGGACCTCAAGCAATCTCCAACAGACCTACAGCTGAGGGTCCTGACTGTTAGAAGGAAAACTATCAAACAGGAAGGACACCTACACCAAAACCCCATCAGTACATCACCATCATCAAAGACCAGAGGCAGATAAAACCACAAAGATGGGGAAAAAGCAGGGCAGAAAAGCTGGAAATTCAAAAAATAAGAGCGCATCTCCCCCGGCAAAGGAGCGCAGCTCATCGCCAGCAATGGATCAAAGCTGGATGGAGAATGACTTTGACGAGATGAGAGAAGAAGGCTTCAGTCCATCAAATTTCTCAGAGCTAAAGGAGGAATTACGTGCCCAGCGCAAAGAAACTAAAAATCTTGAAAAAAAAGTGGAAGAATTGATGGCTAGAGTAATTAATGCAGAGAAGGTCATAAATGAAATGAAAGAGATGAAAACCATGACACGAGAAATACGTGACAAATGCACAAGCTTCAGTAACCGACTCGATCAACTGGAAGAAAGAGTATCTGCGATTGAGGATCAAATGAATGAAATGAAGCGAGAAGAGAAACCAAAAGAAAAAAGAACAAAAAGAAATGAACAAAGCCTGCAAGAAGTATGGGATTATGTAAAAAGACCAAATCTACGTCTGATTGGGGTGCCTGAAAGTGAGGGGGAAAATGGAACCAAGTTGGAAAACACTCTTCAGGATATCATCCAGGAGAACTTCCCCAACCTAGTAGGGCAGGCCAACATTCAAATCCAGGAAATACAGAGAACGCCACAAAGATACTCCTCGAGAAGAGCAACTCCAAGACACATAATTGCCAGATTCACCAAAGTTGAAATGAAGGAAAAAATCTTAAGGGCAGCCAGAGAGAAAGGTCGGGTTACCCACAAAGGGAAGCCCATCAGACTAACAGCAGATCTCTCGGCAGAAACTCTCCAAGCCAGAAGAGAGTGGGGGCCAATATTCAACATTCTTAAAGAAAAGAATTTTAAACCCAGAATTTCATATCCAGCCAAACTAAGTTTCATAAGTGAAGGAGAAATAAAATCCTTTACAGATAAGCAAATGCTTAGAGATTTTGTCACCACTAGGCCTGCCTTACAAGAGACCCTGAAGGAAGCACTAAACATGGAAAGGAACAACCGGTACCAGCCATTGCAAAAACATGCCAAAATGTAAAGACCATCGAGGCTAGGAAGAAACTGCATCAACTAACAAGCAAAATAACCACTTAATATCATAATGGCAGGATCAAGTTCACACATAACAATATTAACCTTAAATGTAAATGGACTAAATGCTCCAATTAAAAGACACAGACTGGCAAACTGGATAAAGAGTCAAGACCCATCAGTCTGCTGTATTCAGGAGACCCATCTCACACGCAGAGACATACATAGGCTCAAAATAAAGGGATGGAGGAAGATTTACCAAGCAAATGGAGAACAAAAAAAGCGGGGGTTGCAATACTAGTCTCTGATAAAACAGACTTTAAACCATCAAAGATCAAAAGAGACAAAGAAGGCCATTACATAATGGTAAAGGGATCAATTCAACAGGAAGAGCTAACTATCCTAAATATATATGCACCCAATACAGGAGCACCCATTTTCATAAAGCAAGTCCTTAGAGACTTACAAAGAGACTTAGACTCCCATACAATAATAATGGGAGACTTCAACACTCCACTGTCAACATTAGACAGATCAACGAGACAGAAAGTTAACAAGGATATCCAGGAATTGAACTCATCTCTGCAGCAAGCAGACCTAATAGACATCTATAGAACTCTCCACCCCAAATCAACAGAATATACATTCTTCTCAGCACCACATCATACTTACTCCAAAATCGACCACGTAATTGGAAGTAAAGCACTCCTCAGCAAATGTACAAGAACAGAAATTATAACAAACTGTCTGTCAGACCACAGTGCAATCAAACTAGAACTCAGGACTAAGAAACTCAATCAAAACCGCTCAACTACATGGAAACTGAACAACCTGCTCCTGAATGACTACTGGGTACATAACGAAATGAAGGCAGAAATAAAGATGTTCTTTGAAACCAATGAGAACAAAGATACAACATACCAGAATCTCTGGGACACATTTAAAGCAGTGTGTAGAGGGAAATTTATAGCACTAAATGCCCACAAGAGAAAGCAGGAAAGATCTAAAATTGACACTCTAACATCGCAATTAAAAGAACTAGAGAAGCAAGAGCAAACACATTCGAAAGCTAGCAGAAGGCAAGAAATAACTAAGATCAGAGCAGAACTGAAGGAGATAGAGACACAAAAAACCCTCCAAAAAATCAATGAATCCAGGAGTTGGTTTTTTGAAAAGATCAACAAAATTGACAGCCCACTAGCAAGACTAATAAAGAAGAAAAGAGAGAAGAATCAAATCGACGCAATTAAAAATGATAAAGGGGATATCACCACCGACCCCACAGAAATACAAACTACCATCAGAGAATACTATAAACACCTCTATGCAAATAAACTGGAAAATCTAGAAGAAATGGATAATTTCCTGGACACTTACACTCTTCCAAGACTAAACCAGGAAGAAGTTGAATCCCTGAATAGACCAATAGCAGGCTCTGAAATTGAGGCAATAATTAATAGCCTACCAACCAAAAAAAGTCCAGGACCAGATGGATTCACAGCTGAATTCTACCAGAGGTACAAGGAGGAGTTGGTACCATTCCTTCTGAAACTATTCCAATCAATACAAAAAGAGGGAATCCTCCCGAACTCATTTTATGAGGCCAACATCATCCTCATACCAAAGCCTGGCAGAGACACAACAAAAAAAGAGAATTTTAGACCAATATCCCTGATGAACATCGATACAAAAATCCTCAATAAAATACTGGCAAACCGGATTCAGCAACACATCAAAAAGCTTATCCACCATGATCAAGTGGGCTTCATCCCTGGGATGCAAGGCTGGTTCAACATTCGCAAATCAATAAACATAATCCAGCATATAAACAGAACCAAAGACAAGAACCACATGATTATCTCAATTGATGCAGAAAAGGCTTTTGACAAAATTCAACAGCCCTTCATGCTAAAAACGCTCAATAAATTCGGTATTGATGGAACGTACCTCAAAATAATAAGAGCTATTTATGACAAACCCACAGCCAATATCATACTGAATGGGCAAAAACTGGAAACATTCCCTTTGAAAACTGGCACAAGACAGGGATGCCCTCTCTCACCACTCCTATTCAGCATAGTGTTGGAAGTTCTGGCTAGGGCAATCAGGCAAGAGAAAGAAATCAAGGGTATTCAGTTAGGAAAAGAAGAAGTCAAACTGTCCCTGTTTGCAGATGACATGATTGTATATTTAGAAAACCCCATTGTCTCAGCCCAAAATCTCCTTAAGCTGATAAGCAACTTCAGCAAAGTCTCAGGATACAAAATTAATGTGCAAAAATCACAAGCATTCTTATACACCAGTAACAGACAAACAGAGAGCCAAATCAGGAATGAACTTCCATTCACAATTGCTTCAAAGAGAATCAAATACCTAGGAATCCAACTTACAAGGGATGTAAAGGACCTCTTCAAGGAGAACTACAAACCACTGCTCAGTGAAATCAAAGAGGACACAAACAAATGGAAGAACATACCATGCTCATGGATAGGAAGAATCAATATCGTGAAAATGGCCATACTGCCCAAGGTAATTTATAGATTCAATGCCATCCCCATCAAGCTACCAATGAGTTTCTTCACAGAATTGGAAAAAACTGCTTTAAAGTTCATATGGAACCAAAAAAGAGCCTGCATCTCCAAGACAATCCTAAGTCAAAAGAAGAAAGCTGGAGGCATCACGCTACCTGACTTCAAACTATACTACAAGGCTACAGTAACCAAAACAGCATGGTACTGGTACCAAAACAGAGATATAGACCAAGGGAACAGAACAGAGTCCTCAGAAATAATAGCACACATCTACAGCCATCTGATCTTTGACAAACCTGAGAGAAACAAGAAATGGGGAAAGGATTCCCTATTTAATAAATGGTGCTGGGAAAATTGGCTAGCCATAAGTAGAAAGCTGAAACTGGATCCTTTCCTTACTCCTTATACAAAAATTAATTCAAGATGGATTCAAGACTTAAATGTTCGACCTAATACCATAAAAACCTTAGAGGAAAACCTAGGTAGTACCATTCAGGACATAGGCATGGGCAAAGACTTCATGTCTAAAACACCAAAAGCAATGGCAGCAAAAGCCAAAATTGACAAATGGGATCTCATTAAACTAAAGAGCTTCTGCACAGCAAAAGAAACTACCATCAGAGTGAACAGGCAACCTACAGAATGGGAGAAAATTTTTGCAATCTACTCATCTGACAAAGGGCTAAGATCCAGAACCTACAAAGAACTCAAACAAATTTACAAGAAAAAAACAAACAACCCCATCAAAAAGTGGGCAAAGGATATGAACAGACATTTCTCAAAAGAAGACATTCATACAGCCAACAGACACATGAAAAAATGCTCATCATTACTGGCCATCAGAGAAATGCAAATCAAAACCACAATGAGATACCATCTCACACCAGTTAGAATGGCGATCATTAAAAAGTCAGGAAACAACAGGTGCTGGAGAGGATGTGGAGAAATAGGAACACTTTTACACTGTTGGTGGGATTGTAAACTAGTTCAACCATTATGGAAAACAGTATGGCGATTCCTCAAGGATCTAGAACTAGATGTACCATATGACCCAGCCATCCCATTACTGGGTATATACCCAAAGGATTATAAATTATGCTGCTATAAAGACACATGCACACGTATGTTTATTGCAGCACTATTCACAATAGCAAAGACTTGGAATCAACCCAAATGTCCATCAGTGACAGACTGGATTAAGAAAATGTGGCACATATACACCATGGAATACTATGCAGCCATAAAAAAGGATGAGTTTGTGTCCTTTGTAGGGACTTGGATGCAGCTGGAAACCATCATTCTTAGCAAACTATCACAAGAACAGAAAACCAAACACCGCATGTTCTCACTCATAGGTGGGAACTGAACAATGAGATCACTTGGACTCAGGAAGGGGAACATCACACACAGGGGCCTATCATGGGGAGGGGGGAGGGGGAGGGATTGCATTGGGAGTTATACCTGATGTAAATGATGAGTTGATGGGTGCAGCACAGCAACATGGCACAAGTATACATATGTAACAAACCTGCACGTTATGCACATGTACCTTACAACTTAAAGTATAATAATAATAAATAAATTAAAAATAAAAAGGAATGCAGAAGCTTCTATTCTACAATTGTCAAGGAAAACTTCAGTTAATATGAATGAAGGCTCCAATCTCATATCTGTGCACAAGAAAGAGAAAAGGAAAGAATGGAGAGAAGGTCAGAAAACAGTGGGGTGGAAATTAAAATCCTCATTTAAACAATCTAAGAAAAACATGAGGGAAGCAATTACTCTGCATGTTTCCCAGCTGATTCACAGGAGATTCATGATTAGAGTTGGCCAGAGGAGGTGAAGGCGTGGACTCTGCCGTGCTCCTTCCTGGAATTAGATGATATGGATGAGCAGTTCTCCCTTTGATGGAGTCCACATCATTTCCCCTGCTGTCCCTCTCGCTGGAAATGTCCCCCAGCTAACACAGGACTTCCTCTGCTGTGACTGCAAACCTGAGCTGCTGGCAGGGGGCAGATTGCTTTCCACAGAGGAGACCAGATATGGTTTCTTTGCTGCTATGGTAGCTACTCGGGCAGCATCTCCTTTGGAAGAGATTCCACCCTAAACCCTTTAAGGCTGGGCAAAATATAAATGCTGCAGCTTAAAGTCAAAGAAATTCCAAGCTCCTTGCTCCAGAGAAGATTAAGTCAGTAGGAAATCCAAATAATGAGAGCCCCGAGGAACTATTCTGAAAATCAGAGGAAACTGAAAGAAAAACTTAAAATAACATCTCTTTTAAAGGAAAAGAAAAACAACAGGAGGTTTAATAAATTTATATGGCCTCTCACTGGATTGTAAACATTTGAGAGGATAAGTAAACAGAAGAGGGAATGGTGCAAAGGAGGAAAAAATATAGATGGTTCTTACAACTCTGCAGCATCTGCCAACACAAATTACAGTGCAGACCAGACTGGTGAATTTCTCTGGGGACTTCCCAGAGTGTGAAAGAAGGGAAATGGGGAAGGAATAAGACCTGAGTTTCAAGGGAAAGAAAGAAAAAAATTAAATTTTTAAAAGTTTGCTTTTCTAGTCCCTGAATTACCATCAGAAAATGCTACAACGTTGCATTTAAGGGAAGTAAGTATGTATGCTAGAGATGCCATTGAAGAAGGGACGAAGCAGTGCTTGACTATCTGAAGCTGAGGAGTTCTGAAGATCTTTACCCAACCTCAAACTTGCTGGTGCTCATGTCTCTGTGGTTCTGAAGTAGAACTAGTCTTCAATCTCAGTGTCATGTCTTTATTCATTTAGGCCTGGAGGGAGGACAGAGGAAGAACCTTGCCTCTGTAATTTGGACTTCCGCTATTCTGTCACAATTGCTGCCTTGTTGTTTTGTGGGGTTTTTTTTTTTTTTAAATCATTTTTTTTTTCTGGCAGTTGCACAAGAATGTCCAGGAACCATATGGCAGAATGAGTTTTCATTTCTGTGTTCTTTAATCCAAGTTCAAGATGCTGCTCGTGAAACCTAATCATAGATCTTAAAAACCCTCCTTGTCTCTCTCATTTCTCCCTCTTGCTACTGCCTAGGGATTTGGCTCAAGGAAACCTTGGTTAACAGTCAACTGAAAGTTGACTCTCAGATGGAAAGGCTGGGAAATATCAAAGAACTGCAAATGTTAGTTTGATTCACTTCAAGGTCATCACAACAACCAACATTTTATCAGCATCTGCAATTTCTAGATGTTTTGTAAAGTGTTGTGGGAATACAAAGATGATTAAAACACAGACAGTTGCTCAACCAGGTGTAGTGGAAAGAGCAAAGACTGAAATGAGAGGAGAGTTGACCTGACTCTGCTGCTATAATTATGACTGGTTTTCCTCTAAATTCCCTTCTCTTAAAATACGGCCCCACTAGCAGTCCAGGGCTACATGAGGGGCTCATATGAACGGGCTTTTATTCTGTGATACTGCCATATTCACTGACCCAACAACACAGGTTCTCAGTTCAAGGATGAGGTTGGGCAACGGTGACCATATTCTATCTCTATACTGTAAATTTAGGCTTGGCTTGGTGACTAATGCCTTTAATCCATGCACTTTGGGAGGCTGAAGCAGGAAGATTGCTTGAGCCTAGGAGTTCAAGGCTGCAGTGAGCTATGATTGTGCCACTGCATCCAACCTGGATGACAGAGAGAAAATCTATCTCAAAATAATAAATAAATTATAAGCTTAGAATGTTAGGCTTTAGAATGTTAGATTTAGCACCAGAATCTCCTATGCTGAAGCAAAACTAATAGAAAGCTAAGATTGAGAAGAATAAAAAATAAAACTATTGTAGAGATAGCCAGTGTACATAGAAATGAATACAGCAAATATGCAGAGAGAAGCAAAATATGTGACAACGATTGAGAGGGAATAAAACAAAGGGTCAGAGGGGGCAGAAGGCAGGGAGAGAACAAGAGAAAAAAGTTACTAATGACTGACCAACATGAGACATTATTGTATTTCTTGTAAAAAGTATCTTATGACATTTCTCATATTCTTCTAATGACCCTTGTTTTTAACTTTAGCTTATGTATTTTTTGTCCTTTGAAACCAAATTAACATTAATTATAACAGATGTTGACTGGTGTGGTCTAGAACAGATCACACTATCTCTAAGTTATAATTTGGTTAACTTTTAGGATACTGATATATTGTTTCTTAATCCCAGAGTCAACGATGATACCTGAGACAATGCTGTGATGTTTGGAATTTATCTGCTCAGTACATGGTCTCTGAATGGTAATCTCCAGCCAAGGCATTAGTGATGGAGAGTATGGAGGGATCTAATCATGAAGACAGTGAAGGTTCCAGGAACTCTGCGAAAGATAAAATGGCAATGGCTAGGAGAAGCAGGGTAGGGAAGAAGCTTGGTGTGGCACAGTTTAACTGGAGTGAGGGACTAAAGATGGAAAACAATAACAGATTACGGTTGGTGATTTTATGACCACGTTTAGGGATTTGAATTTCAAGTTAGTTTTGGTTTCAATATGTTTAAGGCATATCCAGTTGATAAGGTATGTGTAGGGGTGGGAAGGTAGAAGGTAAGATTGAGTAACACAAAGCAACTCAATCTTTTACATTCATGTCAACCCAGTTCAAAATCTGCAGCGTTTTACTCTCTACAATTTGCATTTTAAAAAGATTGGGATTTTTTTTTTCAAATATAAATTTATATTATACCTTCCAATCTATTTTTAAATATTATCTTCATCAATTAAGTTAAGTCTAATGAATTCTCCTGCCCCATAATCCTTCTCCTTATTTAAGGACAAGCACATTTGGAATGCTAGCCTTGTAGACCGTGTTTACCCTACTCACTGTCAAAAGCAAGATGATTCTGAGATTTGTTGGAGTACAGTGTATTGTATATGTGTTATGTATGGTGCCAGGCATGTAATAAAGGCTCAATAAATACTTATTGAAAAAATTAATCAATAACATTCCTTTTTAGTTTCCCATGATGATTAATAAGTTTCATTTGTTCCATCATTCCAGGCATTCTGATTCTAAACAGAAGAATGAGGAAGAGGAGTAAGGGGAAGAGAACAAAAAGCAATTTTTATGGTTTTTTTAAGAGAAAACTGGAAAACATTGCAATAATAGAAACACACTGTCATTTGTGTATAATCAACATGCCCCTACATTTTTAATCTCCACCTTCTTATGATCTGCAGCCCTGTCCATGACCTTTTGATATAGAGGATGCTGACCCTAATGAAAGAAACATTATCATTACTTCATCGAAGCTTAGGAGAGAAAAATAGATGACAAATTAGAAGACAAGCTAAAAGCTTAACTCTAGTTGTAACAATGATATATGATCAGTTTAGATAAAGCAGAAAGTCCAGATATAAAGAGATACACATTTAAATCATTAATTAATAAACAGGGAAAGCAAGGCAAGAATAAAGTATATTCTACATTGGCACTATGATGGTAACACAGTTTGTAAGAAGAAAAACAAATGAAAATGTTTGTACATAGTATGGAGGGACACTACCTAGGCCACTGATTTTGCCACCCTAGGATCCGTTATGGTTTATTGTTGTTTTTAATTAAGTAGGGGTGCTGAGAGAATGTACGTACCTTGCTCATGACTGTGGTTTAAATTAGTAAAGGTTTTGATTGGTGCTGTCATCATCAGCCTATTCCTTGGGGCTTCTCACTCACCATCCCCATCAAAAATGAAACTGATTAGAAACTCTTGTCTTTCCTGGAGTCTCCTTTAATTTTTCTTCCTCAAGATAAACACATCAGCCAATTTCCGTTCAGTGTTTGAATCAGAAACACTGAGAAAATAAGTAAGCTGTGAAAATAAATAAGATGACCAATATAATATTCATGGAAAAAGTTTAAGACTCACCAAGTTTATATGCTAGTGATCTGTGGGGTTTCCAGTAGATTTGACTCCTGAATACCTTCTAATATAAAGAAGAAGTCTGTGTAGGCGATTGCTCTTCATTATTTTTTTTTTCTCTAAAACTAGGTATAGCAGTTCCCTCCTTTGGATATTTGCTTAGTAAAGGCATTCCCTAAAGTAGGTTTCAAAGCACACTGGGTGTTTTCACACACAAAAAAGGGAAAGGAATAAATTGCTTTCTCTGCAATTACAACAGGCTGGTCTATTGACACACAAGTGAATGAAATGTTTATACCCTGAGAGGGAGCCCCTCCATCACTCTCAAAATTACAGGCCCTCAGATCACCATTGAATGTCTAGCCCTAGAAAATCTGCAGAGATAGACGAAGAATAAGGGAAAGAGAACATAGCAGGCAGCAGTAAATAGCTGTATTTATAGCATTGTGTCCTAATGGAAACATCAATCCTGTTTTCTGAGGAAACTACTGAAAATCCTAACCATAATATTGTCCTCTACTTGACTGCCAGACTGGCTTATAACTTATTCCTTCAAAAAGCTAGAAGCTAAATTCTCCGTGCCATACAGAGTACAACCTGAAGATGAAATTGTAAACCATTTCAAAGACTCATTTAACATAGAAACAGGTATTTTCAGGCATCTAACCATCAATTTCTTTTTTTTTTTTTTTTTTTTTTTTTTTTTTTTTTTTTTGAGACGGAGTCTTGCTCTGTCACCCAGGCTGGAGTGCAGTGGCCGGATCTCAGCTCACTGCAAGCTCCGCCTCCCGGGTTCACGCCATTCTCCTGCCTCAGCCTCCCAAGTAGCTGGGACTACAGGCGCCCGCCACCTCGCCCGGCTAGTTTTTTGTATTTTTTTTTTTTAGTAGAGACGGTGTTTCACCGTGTTAGCCAGGACGGCCTCGATCTCCTGACCTCGTGATCCGCCCGTCTCGGCCTCCCAAAGTGCTGGGATTACAGGCTTGAGCCACCGCGCCCGGCCCTAACCATCAATTTCAATGCTGGTTTCTGAGCAGTTCTCAGGTGTGATGAATAGGTGAGGCGGAGGTGTACCCCAGCATCTATCTTTCTATTGGGAACATGATAAACAATTATAATATTTATTATTCAAGCATTTAACCAGTGGGATATCACAGTTAATATAGAATATACCAATTTGTGCAACAAAAGTTTCTTGAGCAAAAACAACCTTTAGGAGAATCTTTTTCTATGTAAGGTGTATGAAAAAATAATTTGGAATAAACTCTAGTGCTGTTTATGTTTAGAAATATAATCCTTTCCAACCATAAATTTTTAGTCTAATAATCAGACCAATAACTAGCTCTACCTTGTGAGGTTGACAGCTCATAGGGGCGAAGAAGAAGAAGAAGAAGAAGAAGAAGAAGAAGAAGAAGAAGAAGAAGAAGGAGGAGGAGGAGGAGGAGGAGGAGGAGGAGGAGGAGGAGGAGGAGGAGGAGGAGGAGGAGGAGGAGGAGGAGGGGAAGGAGGAGGAGGAAGGGGGAGGAGGAGGGGAAGAGGAGGAGGTGAGGAGGAAGAGGAGGGGGAGGGGGAGGAGGAGGAAGGGGAGAAGGAGGAAGGGGGAGGAGGGGAAGAAGGAGGAGGAGAGGGAGGAGGAGGGGAAGGAGAAGGGGAAGGAGGAGGAGGGGAAGGAGGAGAAGAAGAAGAAAAGGAAGAAGAGGAAAAAGAAGAAGAGGAAGAAGACTGATGACTTCATCTAAGTATCCGGCTTTTAAAAATCTC